GGGAATCACCTTTTCGGGGTCGTGGGGCCTACAAGCTGACTTGCAGCCTACACTAGTCTAAGGGCTTTAGGAGGGACCCTTAATAGGGACCCTTGTAGGTTATTGGGGTTAATATGGAGACTACCTGGCTGTATAAGGCCCCCTAAACCCTAAACCCTAAACCCTAAACCCTAAACCCCTAGGCCCCTCCTAAAGTCCTTAGAGTTTGGGGGCTCGGGGGGACGTAGGGTTTAGGTCGGCCCGAAGGCCTCAGGTACCTGTAGGGTTTAGGGTTTAGGGTTTAGGGTTTAGGGTTTAGGGTAGTTCTGGTGATTCTAGTGCATACATTGGCCCTATTGTGTGCACATTGACCCCAAATATATTTACTTTGTATGTATGTATATATATATGTATATGTAAATAAAATGAATATCTCTCTCTCTCTCTCTCTCACTCTCTCTCTCTCTCTCTCTCTCTCTCTCTCTTTAAGGCCAAATAGATACTAGAGAAACACCGGGAACCCAGGCTCAAGGTTGGGTGTAGCGTTTATGACGGCTTTCCAAAGGTTTCTATGAGGGCATCAGGTGTTCGTCATATAATATGAAGTTGGGTTTTGAGTTAACACCACAGTTCATGAGTTTAGGTGTTTGCCTTTAGCTCTATATATTACGAATGGTGGCTTTCATTCAACTCCTTGACTGTAGGGCATAACATGTACATGTCGCAGCAATTTGAGCCACAGGGATTGGAGAGTCTGGATTGGGGCCTTAGTTTCAAGCTCTAATGCCTAAACCCCAACCTTTAAGCCCAATGCCCAAAACTTAACCCCAAGCCCTAGACCCTAAACTGCAAGCCCTAAACCCGCAGGCCCGTAAACCCCAAGCCCTTAACCCTAAGCCCTAAATCCTAATACGGCAGGGCAAAGGCCGAAGAACTGGTCGTTTCGGTGAGTCAATGACGATCCACCAGGACGGCTGGGTTTAGATTTGATCAGGGTGTAACATAGTGCCTAAATGCCTAACTGATTACCCGTATTGTTTTGGGGGTTCTTTATTATGACGTATAATGGGCCCCAGAACCTTATTCCCCGAAACCCTAAACCCTAAACCGCCCCTATATTAGGGTCTTTAGTGTTTGGCTATATTAGGGTCTTTAGTGTTTGGGTTTGCATTCATAGGGTGGCAAGGTTGGGGGTTGTCGGATTTTGTGTTTGGGGTTTAGGGTTTAGGGTTTAGGGTTTAGGATTTGGGTTTGGGCCTAGGGTTTCAAAGTTCAGGTTTTGTGCTTTAGGGCGGTTTTGGATTTAGACAGCTTTTGACTTGAGGCAGGCCCTCTTGGGCGGCATTATCCATAGGATCCTTTATGGCCGGGAAGGGGGGGGGTGTTAAGGTTGGGTGCTTAAGATCCTTCGGCAGCTTGGGTGTAGGGTTTGGGGGTTATGCAAATAGCGGCTTACCAGATTATCTACCTGCCTTGGAACCCGCTGCCTTTAGGATCCCATAGATTTGGCAATAGATTATGCAAGACCATTCCTAATCCCCAAACCGTAAACCCTGAACCCAAAACCCTAAACCGCCCCTAAAACTTAAACCCAAGAACTTAAACCCAAAACCCGAAACCCCAGACCCCAAGCGCTAAACCCAAAACACTAAACTCCCAAATCCTAAACCCTACACCGTCCTTAAACCCGAAACCCCGATCCTTCAACCCTTCGATGCTAAAACACATGGGAGTTTTCGAAAATAGGGGACCCTAATTTAGCACCCTATATAGTAGGATCCTTATTATAAGGACCCCCAAATAGGAAACCCTAAACCCTAAACCCTAAACCCTAAACCCAAATAGGATACCCTAGTTATAAGGACCCCACATACGGTACCCCTTATTGTCTGAAACTCCCGCATGAAACCCTGGACCAAGGCTGGGGCCTCCTCGAGGTAATTAACTTAGTTCCCCAATACCCATTTTAAAGGGTTTAGGGTTTAGGGTTTAGGGTTTAGGATTTAGGGTTTAGGGTTTAGGGTTTAGGATTTAGGGTTTAGGGTTTAGGGTTTAAATTTTTTGTGTTCTTGTGCCTTAGCAGTAATCTGAAAGTTTGACCTTTTTGGTTTCCTGGCTTGTTGGGGAAGTAAGTTAATGTAGGACCCTGGCTAATGACCAACACTATACTGTTGATGATACATATCCTGCATTATCCACAATAAGGAATAGACCATAATTCCCATAGTCTAGGGTCCTTATGGTAGATGCATGATTTATGGAATCAACAGTATTTCCTAGGGTTCCTATCATCATGATGAATACTCGTATACTACGACCCGACAGTTAGTATCTCAGTAGTATACTACGGCCCAACACCCTATTGCTTGGGAGCTGTTTTGGTTCTAAGGGCTTACAGTGTTCAGTTGTGAAGGCATATTGTGTTGAGGTATTTATGTGAAGCTATGTTCCCCAATTCCGCTTATGCGACCCTAAACCCGAAACTCTAAACCCAACCCCCTCAACCCTAAACTCTAAACTCCGAACTCTTAAACCCTAAACTCTAGACGCCAAACTCCTAAACCCTAAAGTCAAGATTCCAAACTCCTAAACCCTAAACAGGGTTTCGAAGTCCCTGAGAGTCATCAGCCCCCATACAGCTGCTTTGCAGGACAAGTTCCGAGATCACATGCGGCTTTGTTTCAGCTGGCTCTCCAAAGATGAAATGCACGAAGGCCTCGAATACCTGCGCGACCCAGCAACAGAGGCGGGAGCAAAAGGATGTGTGCAGCCGAGGGGTACCCTAAACCCCAAACCCTAAACCCTAAACCCTAAACCCGAACAAGAAACCCTACAAGCCAAGCCCTAACTTCTAGACTCCTAAACCCAAAACCCCAAACTTCCTTAACAAATGAAACCCTGCTCCCAAAACAAAGTAAAGGTCAGCAAATACATCATAAAAAAAAACATGCGAAACCTAAACCCTAAGCCCTGAAAACCCCTCTCGCTTCACGGAAACCTTCATGTCAGCATCAGGGTTTGGAGTTTGTAAGTCCTACCGTTTGCCAAATCCTTACTTAGCCAATGGGCGAATTCAAATTTTTTGGCCTTATATATATATATATAATCTATATTAGAAAGTTCAAGCTTTTCTTGGACTCGGTTATTGACGAAGAGAGAATCTACAGAGTCTACCCCGAACCCTTGCCCAGGGTTTGTTCACTTGTGTTTGGCGTCAAAGGTGATTCGTTTTTCTGCTCTTGGGTTTAGGGTTTAGGGTTTAGTCATACAGTCTGGGTGCAAGCCTGAATATCGGCGTTGCATTTCTCTGAGCATTTCGGCGCCCAGACCGCTTAGAGGAGAGCCCCGAAGAAGGCTTATCTAAAGCGTAAGCCGCAAAATGGCAACAAGATACCTTGTCGGGGCTTGATTAAAGGGTTTGGATCCTTTAATTTAAGGGGTAAGGGCAAGTGCCAATCTGGGAGAGATTTCCCTTATTGTCATGTAGAAATATGGAGCTACCTTCTGGGAGGAGGCCTGTACAATACAGCCTTAACCCTCAAACCTAAACCCTGAGCCCTACCTGAACACCCTGAGCCCTCGGTGTAGAAACCCAATTGGAAGGACCCTAGCAACAAGCCAAAATACCTACAAGCCCTAGTGCAACCCTTTATAAGTCTGTAACCCGGCAAAACCATGCAAGCAACGACACATCCCTGAGCCTTAAAAACGCTGAACCCCAATAAATGCAGACTTTCTCGCTGCTGCCACGGTCCATTAAAGGAAGACTTGGCGAGAGGTACTCTAAACGCTAAACCCTAAACCC